TTTGATGGGGTTTGGTGTAGCATAGGCTCATTATAAAAGAGGAAAAAAAACAAGCCAGAGGAGCACTTACTTTCCGCCCCTGACCCCCCTTCCCTCACTCCTATTGAAGGTTGCCCATCTCCCTAGGCTTTGTCCTGCCCCAAATCTCCAGGCACTACTCTTCAAACCTTTTGGCCCACACTCCCAAGCCTCATATTAAGTTATTTCTACCCATCAGGCTCTAAATGCCAACCATATCCTGGCTGCATCAAAAGAAGCGTGGCCAGCAGGTTGAGGGAGGTAATTTTCCCCCTCTACTCCACTCTGGTGAGATCCCACCCGAAGTACTCCATCCGGCTCCGGAGCCCTCAGCACAGGAAAGACATGGACCCATTGGAGCGGGTCCAGCAGAGGGCCACAAAAATGATCAGAGGGATGGAACTTCAACTTTCATGACAAACTCTCAGCAACCAAGGCAGTTCCCCAGCCAAAGACTCAGCAATACTGCAAGTGCCATCGGTTTTCTCTCCACCATCCCTTCTTGCCTGAGGACCCTGGGGAAATGCCTTCTCCCCTCAGGTTCTAGCCCAGCCAGCCTCCGTCACACAGGCAGGGCTCATTCACATCTGAGATGCTCACCTTTTGCTGTTACCTTACCCCATGGCCCCTCTCTGGGAAAGCAAAAAGAAAGCAATTAAGAGATGAGACATTCCTGAGCCTTGTCTTGTTGTATGTACTTCTCTTCCCCTCTCATCCTCCCCATGAGTCAATTCATTCCTCTTGTATTTTGCCGGTATTTACATTTTTACCCACATCAGTACTGAACTCTTTTTTTTTAAACAGTAACGCTCAGCATCTAAAACCAGTGTGTTCTGAGCTCATCAAACTACTGCAGTTTATATAATTTGATTGCCTCCAGTGAATTATTTTAAAAGAAAAAGCTTTCAACATTTTTGATGATATACTGAGCTTTGAGTCTTCAAGTCTGGCATCTAATGTTCACAATGTTTATCTGAATATCAAGTCATACTTTAAAAGCTATATAATAGTAGTAGATGAAGCACCACAGGAAATTGTTTCTATCCTCATACTGTAGCTAAGTTGCTCCATACTAATATGGTTCACAACTTATGGTTCATTTTAACAAATCTCATAAAAATCCTCTGATGTGCTCAAGTCTCCATCAACTATATGACTTAATGATCAATTCATCAAAAGACATCAACAGGATAGTTTAAAAACTGCAGTGGAGGTGGGTAAATGCAGAAACCCCTGTGAGGATATTAGCTGTTTACTACCTTACAATACCAAGGGAATGCTGCATGACACAAAGCAAGTCATCTACACTGCTTTTATTCACTACAAATGCCAAAACTAGCAGTATTTTTACTTTCAGATGCTCAAAACACATTCACCCAGAAGTTAATTACAACAAAAGAGAGCAGTTAGGGGCTCTCTCATTCTCAGTATACAGCTGCCCTAAATGTAAGCTCATTCACCCTGCAATGCTCCCAGCGTAAGGACAGCTGCGTACAGTTGGCATGCAGAAGGCGGCTTCCTGTGTAACCCAGGACTGATCGTGAGTGACCGAGGGCCTCCACGTTTACATTCTATGATACAGGATGTAATTTATATTTCAGACTTTTATGAAGGAACCCCATACAACTGCCCTTCTGCTAACAAACCAGAATAAAACTGTTGAAGTAAGTGCAAAACAGATTAAAGTAACAGTTCAAGCACTAACACTTTAATATTCTGAATGTTACTGTCTTCCCAGAACACCATCTCTGTAACTTGTCACTTACATTACCTGGTGTGGTATGAGCTTGTCAATACCTCACTGAAACGCCAGCCTCAAACCCACTCTGGCCTTCGTTTAGCAGAGTGGTAAGGTCCAAGCATCAAGACTCTTTGGGGCTGCGGAGAAAGACTCCTAACCCTATGCCCGTAAAGCAGCACTACACTGTTACCACAGTCACTATTTCTCCAGAGCTGGCTTTTCTGAATTTGCTCGCTGCAACTAGACCTAGACCCAAAGAATGCGGAACACAGGAGTCCTCTACTCTCGGGTACAACCACTCACTGCCAGGCCAGGGCCACTAAGTAAGATCAAAGATGAAAAGCTTTTAACAGAACGTACTGACAGATACTTGACACTGACAGGCGAATGAGCTGAGATAACTGCTCACAGGTAATCCAATAATGGAAGAAATTTAAGTATTTTGTTAAAAGTTAACAAATAATCATCAGCTCCTCTCCCCAAATAAGGTTTCTGTTAACTTACTGAAGAACAAGACATTTGAATATAATTCTTGACAAGTATTCAGCAGACTGCACAGCCCTGCTATGCTCACAGCAGCCTCAGCAGTTCTCCTCCTGGGATCAACAGTGGAGGTGAAGCACAGCTATTCAAATGCCACCAGAGGTACCTTGCTAAACACAACGTATATAGCAACCAGCCAGTGGCTGCCCTGAATTTCTGTGAATGTGCCACAAACAAGTAACTCTCGCCTTTAAAGTTGCAACTTTAAACTGGGCTCCCCAGTTCAAGAAAGACAGGGAACTGCTGGAGAGGGTCCAGCAAAGGGCAACGAAGATGATTAGGGGACTGGAGCACCTTTCTTATGAGGAAAGGCTGAGGGACTTGGGTCTCTTTAGTCTAGAGAAAAGAAGATTGAGGGGGGATCTTATTAATACATACAAATACTTAAAGGGAGGATGCCAGGGGGATGGGAGCAGTCTTTTTTCAGTGGCGCCCAGTGATAGGACGAGGGGTAATGGGCATAAACTTGAACATAGGAAGTTCCATCTTAACATGAGAAGGAACTTCTTTACTTTGAGGGTAGTGGAGCACTGGAACAGGCTGCCCAGAGAGGTGGTGGAGTCTCCCACTCTGGAGACATTCAAAACCTGCCTGGACACTGTCCTGTGCAACGTGCTGTAGATGACCCTGCTCTGGCAGGGGGGTTGGACTAGATGATCTCCAAAGGTCCCTTCTAACCATTCTGTGATTCTGTGAAATATAATGAAATGCTTAAGTACTAATTCTGAATCTACACCGCTGGGCATAGGTATAGGCTGGTATTTCCCCAGCACTCCTGTATTCCCCCTGCAACCATCCACACACACCTTGATTATGTGCTAGCTCTGACCCTACTCACATGCTCAGGTTTCCATCAGAAGGAAATCCAGACACACAGTGCAGAGATGCGTAACTCAGCCCAACTACCACTGCCTAACTCCTACCACTGAGGCAGGACACAGCCAGAGCTCGGATGGGGCCAGGAGTTCGCACTGCAGAACATTCTTCCTTCAAAAGTAGGTCAGCTTAAATTAAGAAAATTTGCTCTGCAAAACCATGCATCGATTTTTGGGTTTTTTCCAAGACACCGGCAACAATGTTCCCAGTCCCCAGAGTGTCTTGTTTCACTTAAAGGAAAACTTTCTTGTTCCTAAAATTGAAATTACTGTTTCTTCCCTCTCTACCAATAAACATCTAAACCGTCATAATTGTAACACATTAATCTAGTTACTGCAGACTTGCTTTTAGTGAGAGGAGGAGGGAATTTTTTCATCTATCAATTAAGAGGATTCTTAACAAGAACAAAAGTTCATCGTGCAAATAAGAGTTTGGAAATTCAAGTCTCCTAGGATAAATCTTCCTTCACTTCTGGCTTAAGAGCTGCAGAAAACTGAAAGCATAATCCCTGACATTTCACTGTATTTGCAGGACTAAAATGTTTGCCCTGTGGATATGCCAACACTGCAAGTAACTGGGTAGAAGCTAATCACTCTATAGGTTTCATCGTAATTTAAAAATACTCAGAGCACCTCACTAGTACACCCACATAGCAGTATAAATTGGTCTGCTTTGTAAATGGTTTCATCTACCTGTCTGTCAGCAGAGAGATGAAAAAGAATATTGATAGCGTAACTGGGCAGTTATGTAAATTGGACAACTAAACCGATTCCAAATAATCTCTAAGTCTTTTCTCTCCCCACAATAAAATTTATTACTCTTCCCTTCAGTAAACAACCTTTGGAAGCCATGCAATTTTTTGCAGCTGTCACTAGAAAAGTAGTCAAAGAAAATGGAAGATTTTGGAACTTGGTACTCATTCTGTATATTTTTTTTTTCTGATTACTAACAGTTTTTGATGTCACTGTTTCAAAGCTATTTGTTATGCATAAATCTGCTATCTGTTTCTAACACAATGGTTGTAATTTTGTAAATATTTCTCTATTTGACTTTTTATCTTTTTGTTAGCATAAAAATCCCATAACATTTAACTTTTCCCCATAGCAATAATTAAGAGTTTACAACCTCTTATAGATATCATGTCAATACAAACTGGATGTAAAAAAGTCTTAAAGTGAGTGGCAGTAAGTTTTTTAACTAAATTAACCATCTAAGGAAAACGGCTGTAAATACATAAAAAGCTATCAAAGCTTCTTATGAAAAAATACTTTAATCCAAGAACTAGACTGCATAATTAAACAATTCAAGTCTTAGTTATAAACTGATTTTAATTAAAGGCAATCTGACTCATTTTAACTATGCAGAAATTTAAGTCAGACAACATATTTGTATCCTTTTTCTAAAATATCTGTCACTTCTCCAGTGGCTGATCAAACTTGCCAGTGAAAAAATGTTTTGAGTAGGCAACTTGTAATACAGCTATGGTTTATTTCTGTCAGAGGCTGACTGCTGAAGTGTGAAAGAAACTCATTAAAAATCTCTCACTGTGATCCTGCATTGCAAGGAAAAAAAAGAAAGAAAATACTTAATGAAGGGTACACTTAGCCTGGAGCCACATTCATATTCTGCTTTTCATTTTACACTATTTCAGTAAGCAATTAAAAGACAGCAATTAGTCACAGAAACTATTCATACTGGTCATACTGGGAGATTAAAGACGCTAACACTTATTTTATGTTATTATTATGGAAGTAATGAGGGAGATCAAGAATAATACAGCTAACTAAAAAGGAATGATAAAATAAATAGAAGAAGTTCTTACCTTAATCTTAAGACAAGATTCACTGCACATGGAACTTCACTATATTCGTCACTAACAGCCGGCTGAGGCTATTAAAGAAAAATGCAAAAAGCCTTATAATGGAAGCCAAAGGAACAAAAATATCCTGAAATACTTGCCATGCTAACAGTCTGAAGTTAGCATAGAATATTTTACACGTTCTCTAACTCTCAAAAACCTTTGAAACACTTTCAGTAACACAATCTAAAATATAGCTGATACCAGTAAAACTGCCATATTTCAATTACAGAGATACAAATGATATGACCTGCATAAAGCATTGAGTGTAAGAGCTTTTAATCCACCTTGCATCAAAGCTCCAATAACCTATTAAATAATACGCACACAGTGAGAATACCAAGCTACTACTCACATTATTTTTGTGTAACAGCTTTGGTTGTTTAGGAAGTCTTGCATCTACCTGTCTGCAAAGAACTAGTAGCATGTCAAAGTAGGCATCACAGCTCAGAGAGTGTCTTTCACAATGAAAAATCAGGAATATGGGTATCTTTCACACTGTCACTCCTCCCTCACACTATGATACCCTCCCCTGCCCCTCAACTAACATTTATATGGAGTCTCAAGCAAAAGTGTATCATGCATACAGAGTACCTCAGGGTCCTCTACCCTACTTGGCATATTATCACCACTGACAGAAGCCTGTTCAAAGGTTACAGTCAAGTCCCCCCAAAACAAAAACTTGCACCACAAGTCTCATTTGATTGTTTTCCAACAGTTTTTCACACTAAAGCAAATTTAAAAAAAAAGGTTACACAAGACCTATATTTTATTATCTGTGTATTTTAAACAAAAGTTAATGAATATTTGGAAAATTATTTAAACACTAAAAGGGGACTATATTTTTTTCTACTTCAGTAAGTTCCTTCCATTCATATAAACTACTATTATTATTTCTGCATCTTCAACAGACCTGTTACTTCAGTGTATAGGACCGTGCAGCCCAAAGACCAATAGTTGCACACCAAAAGTGACAAGCTGCACTAGTCTCAGTTCCAAGTCATCTTCTGGAGTATTTAGGAAAACAAAAATCAACGGAAGACTTCAAGCAGAAGCTTTGTTATCCTTCATAAAATAAACAACTCGTAATAAAAAAGTTACCTGTACAAACTAAGTTACAAACTGTAGAATTCTCGATTTCTAAGCCATAAAAAGACTGTCTGGTGGAAGTCCTATTTTTTTTTTCTGTACTCAACTTACATAAGACATCTCAGATGCTGAAGAGCTATGTAAACTAGCTCTGCAACGGGAAGACTGGGGTCATCACAGGAGCTAACAGGAGCAAACCTTGCAGGAAGCTATTAGTCTTTTAGAAGATTTCTACGACACCAATGAAAATCAGAGAATCTAAAATTGCAGGTGAAGTGGCAAGGATCACCCACCCAAGGAATAGACATTTTTAAAAGAGCACTTTGGCTGTAAGCCAGTAATCCTATTAAGCAATTATTTATAGCAGCAATGCTTCCCACGTTCGCAGCACAGGGCCATGAAACTCAATACGGTATTTTATTCCTCTGAATTAATCTACTATGCCACGGTACTGAACTATTTTACTGTTTACGGGACGAAGCATTTTAATTACAAGTGATAAAAATCCTAAGAATTAAAAATTATTTGGAGATCTTCTGGCTACTCCGAAACAGCCATCATTACTATAATAAAGTCAGCAGTTTGTGCAATCCAGTTATGAAGATTCATTAAAAACAGCCAAATTACCTATCTTAACCAATTCTCCTGGGCACAAACATAACGTGACTTTAGATTTCCTATCCATTTTATCCAGTGTGTGCTCAAGTTAATTGTTACAGGCCCAATTGCATACAGCTCTATCCTCTCAAGGACTTGCCATACAAGGCTGCAGAACAAACCTCCCGCCTCACTTCACATTTTGAACAACAGAAATTAAAAAGAAATCCCTTCACTCAAACACTTGGGAGAAAAAAAAAAAAGATAAAGACATTTTTACCTCTGTGTTCTCCTCTTCTTTTACTCTTCGTGACTGGAAAACAAGTACAGTGAGATATGAGCTATGCAGCTTTATACATTAAAGATCTAGAAATACTAACAACTAACATCACAGAATCATAGAATCATAGAATGGTTTAGGTTGGAAAAGACCTTGAAGATCATTGAGTTCCACCCCCCCTGCCATAGGCAGCTGCCTCACCACCCTGATAGTGAAAAACTTCTTCCTAATGTTTAATATAAACCTGCCCTCTTCCAGTTTAAAGCCATCCCCTCCCGTCCTATCACTACATGCCCTAGTAAAAAGTCCTTGCCCAGCTCTCCTGTAGGCCCCCTTTAGGGACTGGAAGGCCGCAATAAGATCTCCCCAAAGCCTTCTCTTCTCCAGGCGGAACAGCCCCAACTCTCTCAGCCTCTCCTCATAGGAGAGGTGCTCCAGCCCTCGGATCATCCTCATGGCCCTCCTCTGGACACGCTCCAGCAGGTCCGTATCTTTCTTATGCTGGGGACTCCAGAGCTGGATGCAGTACTCCAGGTGGGGTCTCACCAGAGCCAAGTAGAGGGGCAGAATCACCTCCCTTGACCTGCTGGCCACACTTCTTCTGATGCCGCCCAGGATACGGTTGGCCTTCTGGGCTGCGATCGCACATTGCTGGCTCATGCTGAGCTTCTGGTCTATCAGCACGCCCAGGTCCTTCTCCTCAGGGCTGCTCTCCAGCCATTCCCCACTGAGCCTGTATTTGTGCTTGGGATTGCCCCGACCCAGATGTAGGACCTTGCACTTGGCCTTGTTGAACTGCAGGAGGTTGACTTGGGCCCACCTCTCCAGCCTGTCCAGGTCCCTCAAGACAGAATATCTTGTAGAGTGTACATGTTTTGGCACAAACAAAAGTTACCTTTTCCTGAGAAACAGCAGCTTTGCCTTCCTCACTTTTCTCATCCATTTCATCATCACTCCATTCCCAGTCCCCATCTTCTGTTTTATGGAGGTGACCACTGGAACCTGGTACTCGTCTGACCTACCAAAATATTAAGTGTTCACCATTACACAGACATTTTTAGTCTAACCAGCATTTCTTCGTTATTTTTATTCTATATGCTTTCATTAGTTTGCTGGAGGAGTAACTGGCATATTGGAATAATATCTGGCCTCGGAGTCATCTTTGAGCCAGTGGGAACAGCTAAGCTATGCAAAATTCCTGTAAGGAAACAAGTTTGGATATATTTTACCACTACTTAGGAACAAGCCCAAATAGATGAGAACTGCTTACTATGAACTAGCCCTTGAAATGAAAGGAGGCTATTCAAGGAAGCAGAAGTTACATAGACAAGGTTGCTCTTGGGACACAAGTCTTAAAAACTTTAATTGTTCTGCTAAAAAGCTTCAAAATGTGTAAAGCTTCAAAATTATCCTTATTAAAAAAAAAATAAAAATAAAAGCAGTTGTATGCAGACTGAGAAGGTAGGCAGGCATGCACCACACCAAACTAATTGGGCAAACTCCTGTAGATCAAACAGTCTAATGAGGCTTAAATAGGAGTATGCAGCAGCTAAATCTGACAATCAAACACTCTTCTGATGCCATCTTGCTCTTTTTCAGAGTTTGACAACATGCCTGTTTTCCCCAGATCATGTTCAGCCTATTTGAGCAAAACAAAAGAACATCCAACAATTCTTCCCACACCTTGGTATACATTTATGAGACCCCTGAGACGGCTGGAAGCACAGCACAATAAGCAGCAGCCCCATTGGTGCTTAGATTAGAAGCAGTTTCTCTAATTATTTCACATTACTAAACCAACAAGACACAGTTCCCACTGCACAACTTCAAATGCTCATACAGGTAAGCTCTCCAGCACTCATCTGCTCCCCTCCCTTCCCTTTTGAACACATAAGACTAAACTAGAGGAAAGGGTGAAGTTTCCAGAACCTCAGCACATTGCTGTACCTTCTTCAGTCCTTATGATATTCCCTCCTTACATTTCTTCCCTGCACTTCCCTACTCAGTTTCTCCATATTTTGTACTTGTTTGAAACTGAGAAGAGGGGAAACCTGTGCAGGACACTGGGGGAACATGCTACTCCATCACCTGAGGGACAAATTCTGCACTATTTTCCCAGTTTCCCATACCAAGCTCCTAATGCACCAACCAAGCAGCTCTAGCTGCCTCAAAGCTTGGTACAAGAAACTCGTGTGTGTTTGGGAGGGAAACCAAGCAAAAGTCAACAGAAGCAGTAGCACAGAAATTTTTTACTCAGCTGCAATCAGCCCCAGCACAATCAATGGGCTCGTACTGCCTACATCATCAGGGATTAGCACAGACACAAGGTAATCTAGCAGACAATTTGACTGGTGCTTGTGGATACAATTTATTATTTTTCAAGGAACAGTCCTGATGTAGGCTTTTGTTTAACAGCACAAGCATTTTCCCAACACCTATACACAAACCTATGACAGGACATGAACCACAAGCAAAACCATGCTTTTCAAACAGAATAGAATAGAATGGTTTACAGACACATTCACACACTACATCACGCACTAATCAAAACCTCTTCTGCATCCATTTTCAGTTGTTCTGAAGACTTATTCTAACTAGAATGATTTTAATGGACCTTAATGATGCTGGCAGAGAGTTATCAAAGAAAGCTTTACTGATGAAGATGGAGTGCATTTCAAGTTTTTTAATAGATTGCCTTTTAATAAGCAATAAACAAATGGCTCACGGAAAAGAAAATAAGTTACTGCAAACTAAAATACGGTGTTAAATTAAATACGGTGTTAAATTAAATGATTTTATTGAAAGGTGTCTGAAGGCAGAAAAACAAAAGTTTAGACTTGTACTCTGCTTCAGTGAGACTGATTACCACGAGCATGCATATTCCCAGGGAAGAAATCATAAATTTCAGCTATAGCAAAGTACCCAACCTATTCAACTTTCAAAAATGTGAAGTTGTTGCCTATAACATTTTTTTATTGGTGGGTGTGCATTACTTAGCAAAATAATTTGCACAATTTTTGATTAACAGTGGCTTTGTTCAGACTCAGTTCCAGTTAAAACCACAAAGACTCAGTCACATAGGGAGGGCGTGTATGCTATGCGCAGGACAGAGCAAGAGCTGTACACCACATCTGCAAAGAAATTAATTCTCTTTTCATTCATCATAAATCTGTATAACAGCACATAGTGAATCCAAATATATTATCTTAAATTGCTATGGTAATAGAAACTTATCATAACAGACTTGATACTAGTATAATGCTGCTTCTCTTCAGATTTTTCTAGTGTCTTTTCCAGAGCACATTCATGAAAATGCATATTGGTAGTGACACATGTGAAGTATTTTAGGAGATGGCTAGCATTTTACCATATTCAACTCACATTAATAAAAAGCAAAAATACACCAGAAGAAGTAAAAGAATAAAACCTACATTGTACAGCTAAAGCCTTTTGGGCTTTGAATTTGGCACAGCAACAGAACCAGTTTAAAGGGTTAAGATAAGAAAACTGAGGCAATCTACTAGTTTGCTACCATAGGAAGAGACAACCCCGAGATGTCCAGCAGGGCTGTACCCGGGACCTACCTGGCTGTCCAGTGAGCAGATTCAACCCACCAGCTTGGGAGAAAAACTAGTCTTTTTTTCTTCTATCAACAAGTTTTTTGCAGGATTGGTGGGTTAAATCAGCCCATCTTGAGGTCAAAAAGCAAAGACTGTAAGCAAAGAGTCAGAAACAAAAAGGGCAGTGAAAGGGAAGTTGGATCATCTTGTTTTGGCAGCAGCAATCCCTCAGGATCCTCAAAATCACGTACTCTAAGATGCTTACAATGCAGCATCATGACTGGAGTGCACAATCTGCCACACCAAGTCTCCTCAAGCTTTCATTTGTGTTCCTACAGCTGTGCAGACAACCCAACTGAAAAATTAACATGGAACACAGTTAGCTTGCAGCCAAATCAGCTTTTTAATTTAGCTGATCATGACCTAGCACAAGTGCTAGTGCCTGCAGAAGAAGAAGAGCTGGAACATCATTTTCAGTAGTAGCCCTGATCATCTGTAGTAGGAAAACATTGCAAATTCCCAAGAAGTGATACAGACATAAATATGAACAGGGAGCAAATATATCCAGGCACAGCACACATTTGTCTCCATTCTCTTTCATGGGGATACTAATTTAAGTTCTTTATATGTGTCACACAATCTTTTGTCATTCCATCTTGGTTTTTTCAGCCCAAATACTAGGCTTTCAGTGTTAGGCTCAGTACTTTTTCTTTCCTTCCTACATGCAAATGCTATAAACATATTGTTGACTTTTCAGTATAAAAAATGCCTTTTCCTAAGTATCTTTGCAACTTTTTAATCATGAATTAATTTATGCAATCAATATTACACATCGGTACAGATTTTCCTAGGAAGAAAAAAAGAAGAAAAAAACCTCAAAGTCAAACTACTTGCTTCTAGTACCTTTTTTTAATATGCCACTTTCTCATATAAATACCTCTTTTCTTCATGAAAAAAATATGAATAGCATAATCCTGTTATTTTATGTTCTGAAACAGAAACAGTAGCATAGAAAAACATGTTACAGTGTAGGGATCATCAGTATCAAATATTTAACTGAAAAGGACAATTTTACTTCAGAAAAAAATAATTTGGTATTTTCTCATATCAACATATTATTTGCACTTTCAGAAGGGTTGCATCTAGGATAAGCATTTAAGCATTGTAACGACAATTGCAGAGTTTGGAGACCATGGTAGCACCACATTAGACATTAATCAGCTGCAGGGGTCAGCACCCATTGCAATGTTCATACAGTTTATTAGACCATGATCATCTGTAAGAGTTTAAGAATGGTGACAATCAATCCAGCCAATAAGCTCCAGCATCAACCAGTTTTATCTTTGCTTAGAAAAGAAAAAGTAAGTGTGAAGGCAACCCCTCAGCACTTTATGCATTCCCCCAGTTTCTAGTAATTCTCTTTTCATATTATGTTTGCTTTATCAAGACAAAGATGATTTAAATAATGTCAAAAGTCCTAAGACCTTTTGATAACCACAGGATAAAATTAAAGCAATTTTGTCCCTTAATGAAACAGGTTCTTCTTAAACACTTGGTTTTGGCCACCAACCACCTGTCTTTTGTGCTATCCCAAGTCCTAGTTTGCTAAGAGACAACGTATTTTCTGCTCTAACCTTTTTTCCCCCCCATCTCACAAAACACTGCAGAATTAAAGTGAGCACATTACATTTTTATGAAGGTATGCCAGGTGTCCACACTAAAATCTTCAGAAGACTTCCACTTCCTCACAATCGAGTCGTTCTGACCTTCTGGATTACTCTTGAAGTGTTCATCACAAAGTGTGGTAAAGCTCTATATCCCTTTTGTCCTAAAGGCCTAAACAACCTTCAACGCAGGAAAAACCTTTTCCAGCAAGTACACTAAGGGCTATTATAACAGGCCTGTGAGGAGAGGAAAAGAAAGAGGGGGAAAAAAGGAACAAAGATAAGCAATCACTGAGTGGAGCCGGTGCTGTTCTGTTAGAAATGCACCTTCATCAGGGTGGAAACAAAGAGAGTGTTTCTCTAGGTTACATTCTCACATACATGACTGTTTTGTTTCCTTTCAATTTACAAGAACAGGTGTGCAATACACAGAAGTATTTTGCTGAAGAATAGTTATATACATACATGTACTGA